CGCCACGTTTTCAAAATATATTAAGTCTGGATTGAAGTTCAATTATCTCATGTGGTCACTGCTCCTTCTTAAATTTCATTCGTGCTGAAATATTTTATTGGTGCAATGAACGAATTTATGTTTTGCATTGCTTAATATTATAAAAGTGTTATTGATTTGTGGAGAGAAGATTTTTGATAGTTTTTATGAATGATGAGTTTGTGTTACAGTGACATGAATATTGCGTATACGGCAGCGAGTCGTTTGCGTGCGGGTAACGTTTACGTGAATACTTTCAATGATACGAGTAAGTTGTCGTTGATTGTTAGCATGGCATAATTGCTTCTTTACTCATTGTTTATTTGCTAATATCAGTTGGTTTTGATAAATAAGTGTAAAGGATTGATTTTGAATATAGATCCGATGGTGCCGTTTGGTGGTATGAAGCAATCTGGATTTGGGCGAGAGAATGGAGTTGCGGCGCTGGAGGCATTTTCACAAGTGAAAAGTGTTTTCGTGAATGCATCGAAGCAACTCGACAATCCTTTTATTTAGAGGAAGGCGCGTGGATCGTATTATCGCTGATATTAGGATTTAGGAGATTTAGCAATTCGTCGTTTCATGAACATGTTTCAAGGCAAATTGAAGTGATTACTTGATTTTGATGTGTTAATTGATGTTTCATCTCGTGCATCCTTTTAATGAGCATTNGTGTTTCGATTGTTTTTGTCATTTTAATATAAATTTTTACATTGCTTAACGATTATTTTCGTTTATTTCCGCAACAAAAAAACATTCTTCCGTGTTATTGTTCATTTGTTAGCTGGTCTTCGCATTAATTTCTCTCGATCTTTTTTTTGATTTCACTTGTTTTTTTTTCATCGTATTCTTAAAATATGTAACGAATCGTAAAACATGACTGCAGCTTTTATAATTGCTTTGTATTTATAATTCGAGTTGAGTCCTCTTTTAAGACGTAAATGGTGAAATTGTTGTGAATGGTATTGTTATAATAACAATATGTTGTGATTGTATTTATTACGTTGTGTATACGTTTTACGTACAATTTTTTTGCGATTGGTTGTTTAGGAGAAAATTCAGTTGGCGATATTATTTTGTTTCGTGTTTGTTTTTGTTGTGAAATCTCGGTGATATGTCAGATCGTATCGATCGTTGACGTTGCTCTGAAATTTAGAATTAGTCGTATAGATATAGGATATAGTCTATTGAGTGTCATTTGACATACTTGTTAAGATTATCCGTATCCGGATTATTCTATCGGATGAACCGAAGCCGTTTCGAGTAGCCGTTCATGCAGTATCATTTTGTTTTGTAACTGCTTTTGTACTCGTCACTTTCGTATGGTTTTACTGGTCATTGTTTGAAACTTCACGCATTTCAAATTAAATAAATAGTTTCACGATATTCCCATCAATGAAATTAAACTCAATCTGTATCGTGTTCGAATGATACTAATAATAACTCACTTCCTCCACTTCAGACTATCGTTTTCTTTTTTCAAATTGTTTGCTGCTCAATTAATGGTACTGAAACAAAAACGATTT